GCCCACACCTAGGGGTGATTGCCCTCCCCGCAACAGGCAGGGGTGAATCCCACGTGGTGTTGCTACCTAGGGGTGGAAACCAGCTCTTTCCGAAAATTTTACCTGGTCAGGGAACAGGGAGGGAATGATAACAACTGACTTTTTCTTCCTTTCCCTTTCCCTTTCCCTCTCCCTCTCCCTCTCCTTCTCCCTCTCCCTCTCCCTCTCCCTCCCCTCTCCTCTCCTCTCCTCTTCTCTCCTCTCCTCTCCTCTCTTCTCCTCTCTCTTCTCTGAATAGAGATTCCACTCTCTCCCACAGCCACCTATTTCCAGAATCCAACATCTGGAAGCTAGGGAGAAAAGAGTGGGAAGGATGTATTGGCAGAATAATTGGGGTGGAAAGAATGTATTCTTGGCCTTTTTAGCAGGAATCAGTCTTTTTTCAGGTGAGTGGGTAGAGAAAGAAGTGGGTTTGGGGAGAATGGGTCACAACCGGTCTCAGCATCCAGTGAGCTGGCCATTTTGAAAACAAATGTAGAGTGAAGGGGACACAATTCTCATACAGACGTCGGCGCCTGGGGCCACTTAAGAGAGTTCGACTGCATGAACTCAAAGATATAAAGGGAGGGATCTGAATTTTCTTTTCCCAAATCCAATATGTCCAGATTCTGGGCTTAATTTATTCTCATCTTGATCTACTTTATTATTGTTTTAAATTACAGAAATAATATGGGTTTTTAAAGGTCAGATAATTCTGAATTGAAAATGTTAGTAATTTCCACTTCCCTTTCTTAGGCAAGACTCTGAAAGTAGCAGCTTATGTTTCGCCCCACATTTATTTCTGAGTATATATACAACACATGAATACACATGATAAGATTTAGAACAATTGCTCTCAAAGGCTGTATCATAAAAAATACTTTATCCTCCTACCTCATTTCTTTTCTTTTTTCTTCCCAGTGCATCATAGATATAATTCCAGGTCAATATAAATGGTTTTTTTACTCATTCCTTATAACAGTATTCTAGAAGTTTGTAATTTACTCAGCTGTTCTATATCTGGGCCCTCAATTTGTTCCCTGTTAATTTTGTTGCAGCTAGCAAGTCTGCAGTAAGCTGCACAAAGATTTTATGTACTGGTGCTTTTTGTCTCCACTGATACACTTCCCAGAGTGGAGAATTTGTTTTACTTGGTAGCATGGTTCACATCCTTTTATGCAGGCTAATGCCACAATAAGCAACTTCTGTCCCTTAAAGTTCTCTAAGCTATTTTTCTATTTTGTTCATGCAGTGACTGCTTTCCAAATGCGCTGATTTGGCTGAAGAAACATCCAGGAAAATGCACTTGTTTGCTCTTGTAGGATGTATTCATTTATATGGGCCAAGTTTTGAGACTGCCCTACATGTGTTTGTTTTAAATGAGCAGCGATGCAAGGACTAACCATATATAAATATCAATCCATGTTAAATAAATGGATCTCAAGACTGAGGTATAGTATGGTGCGGAGTGCATAATTAAACATCAGAAGATCTGAATTTTTTTATTTTTCTCCCTACTGGCCATATTCCTTTAGAGTTGACATCTTCATTTAAAAAGGGCATGATTTCCGTGCCTGTCTTACAGGTTGTGAGAATTAGGAGAGATCACATTGTAAACCATACAGCCTCCCACATGTGTTTTAAATTCATTTAATGCAAGCAAAACTGCATCAAGAGGAAGACGCTGTTCTTTCATAACAACCAGACAGAGAAGCACATACACAGGTTCATAAAGTCAGAAAGAGGCCGCCCAGACGTTGTGCTGGTAGGGTCTTCCAGACATCCAGGAAGGCCACCCCCAGCAGCATCCAGGGACTGCACAGGGGCTGGCCAGGTGGAGTGGAAGGAAGCTCAAAAGTGTATTTCAAAACAGTCAGACACAGAGAAAGCTGCTCCAACATTTTCTGCATTTGAGGATTTATTATGTCCATGATTACCTTCCTTTGGAGAGCTCTTTGGTTTTATAATGGATTTAAAGGTTATTTCTTGTGGACTGAGGCTGTTTGATGCAGTCTTGTGTTGAGGAGCCCTTGGGTGTTTTTCTAGTGTTTCCTTATTTGATTAAGGCATCCAGCGCTGCCCTGGTTTTATAACTGAAAGTCAATTGTCTTCAGTCCTGGCCACACGGGATTGTTTGCTATCTTATGATGCATCTTGTATGTCTTGATCATCGTATCTGAATGGCTAGGATTATTTAAAGAAAATACGTCATGCTGTGAAAGTTGCCTTCTATTCGTTATCTCTCTGGGGATTTTTATGAATTCTTTAACTTTGCTTCTGTGGTATATTTGTGTGCTATGAGCTGGAAGGAGATTTTTTTGTATTAAAATCAAATAACAGAAGAGGAAAAATAAAGATGGTGGAATGTCTCTTATCAGTATTCAGTCTTCCACCTATAGTAAGACTTATCTCCTATCATCTTCCTACAACCTTAAATGAAAATTAATAAGATATCATAGTTTACTATAGAAGCCAGTGATTTCCAATGGGCTCTGTGCTACAGAATAGATTTGAAAGCCATTTTAAAGGGATTTCTTTGATGGAATG